TCTCGGTTCTTTCCCGCGCGAAACAGTTTTTGCAATGTTACTTACTTGTAAGACGAAGACAACACATGCAGGTGTAGCGTCCTCTTAAATTATATTGATGGCGTTTCAATGAGGAATTGGATAAACAACTACATTTTGGCATAACAGTATATTTTTATTATTTTATTATATTTTATAATAAAATATAATTATATATTAAACAACTTCCAGCCCTGTGGTTTTCTCATCTGATGTTCATTAATACACAGTCATGTTTAAGCTACGCAATATTTTATTATAATATGAAATATCAAGTGTACCTAATTATAATATCAGGTTCGCACTTGTACCTTATAAGTTATAACCAAAGAAGACTGTCCAACCTGTGAACTCTACGACAAAGAACTGACAATTCTTATGTTATTATTACATTAAAAATAAATAACTGCAGTTAACCGCTGTGTATATAGCTAGATGCAACATAATATTGTAAGTGACGTGTGTAGCCTACTTAAAGAACTTATCTTTTATCAGTTTACATAAAAAAAAATATTATAATCTATTATCTAATATAATATAAGTCTCTAACAACTGCTATCGAATCTCAGTGGTCAGTGACAAAGATGAAAGAATTCACTATTCTAGAAGAGCTGAACATAATTGAGTGATGAGTAATACGTATGGTAATTTATTAGGCATATATACTCTCATAGAATAGTATCTAACGTTGCCGGATGACGAATATAATAAGTAATTACTGAAGATCTGGGAGCAACAATAGTTTAGCAACAATTTTTCAGAAGGCACTAAGATATATTTAGATCCAACTTCAATTTCTATATGTTGCAGTCAGTAACAAATTGTCTAAATTAAATTTACACGAACTCGAAATTAAAAAAATACAATTTGGAGATGTATAAGACGATGACAAATGTCATAAATTTTAAATATTAATACGTATTATGAATTAYGATTCTCTAACTCTTCCATCGAAAAATTTGGCATGTATTATTATTTATTATATAATGGGCATATTACGCATTAATGCGTAAACGTGTGATACTGTGGTAGTGTGGTCGTTAATCGATCCGCAATAATAATATTGTGCATGATACTTACTACGCATGTTTCGAATGACGTATAAGTCAAGTCCACGATACACGCAAGGTCTCACCCGTTTCAAGGTCGTATCTAGTATGGATTGAGAGTATATTATATATTATTCCGAAACCTAAAGGCTAAAGATTGGTAACATAATATTAACGTGTTTGTAGAATAATATATTCTATTGATATATATAAAATAATGTTTCTTTATTTATTCTCTATAGACTCGAAAACTACTTAACCGTTTTCTGCAATAGATCGAAGTTATATCAATGACTCTTTGAAAGTTGGAGAGTGTTTATAGCTTATTATTTGTTCAGTCCTTACCTTATAAGTAGAAACAGGATAACGAAAATCGAATATTTTTATTTATTTAAATGTTAACATTAATTATTATTGATTATATTATTACTATATAATAAACATTGTAGAAATATTGCGTAAAAAATGGTTACAAAATATGTACTAAAAATCAAATTCTAACATTATGAACACAATAATGATAGCTTTTATAATTTTCTTCTTAATATAATAGCGAACAGACATAATTTCACAATCCGATGGTTGTTTTGTTTATATATTATATATTTGTTTATATTTGGKCACATAATAATGGATTAAAGTAGAGAATTACCTAACATTCCATGCACATTACGTCATTACAGAAATACAATATTTTATAATTATAGCAGCCCACCTGCGTGTGTTATTGCTAAGGGATTTGTTTTCTAAAAATGAATTAAAATAATATTCAATTCATTATTCGTTATTCAAATATAAAACAAAAGGCAATAATGTCAATTAGATTGAAGCTTGAGATTCATAACCTATTCAACTATAAATTTTGTCAAACATTTCGGAAATTATGTTTAGACAATAGACATATCAGAAAAGTTTGGAGTGTATTTTAAATCACCTTAAAAAATACACCAATATTGCAATTTAGTCAATATACAATTCATCACACGCGAATTGTCTATATCGGTCAAATTAGATCACAATAACGCGAGTTAAACCCACGATTTAAGATAGATGCTGATTTACCCGTGAATTGAACCTACACTAAAAGTCTAAAACCGATATATATACGCGATTGATCACTGAAAAGTGAATACTGATACAGCATCGTAATATTTTGTTTTTGCTGGGCCGTGAATTCGGGTTATGTACTTATGTATGACTAGAATTAGTTATATATATATTATATATATATATATAATAAATATTCGTATAGACGAATTAATAATAGTAAATTTTTCATTGAAATTTTCCAATAAATTAATACTCCAAGATTAAATGAACACAGAACAAATGATAACATTAATTATTTATTTGAAATATAAGCATATATTATATATAGAAAATTAGAAACCAAGATGTATTATAGTATTATTTAAGTATGTTTTACTTAATGTTTACTTGTACMTACCTATATATTATATTTTATTGTATTATCTGTTTATACGTTGGATTTTTTTTACAAAATTTCAATATTTCAATGCGGGTTATAAGTACCTTAAGCGAGGGACGGCGCTAGGATTTGCGGAGCCCCGGTCAAAATAAATAACAGTTACATTACATATTATCCAAACTAACTAATCTTTGAACAGTATAAAATATAATAATTATATTAAATTATAAATATTATATAAATTATTTAAGAACTGCGGGGCCTTAATTATAATTTTAAAATCACGGGGCCAGGAGCATTTGCCCCTATTGCCCCCCCCCGCGCCGACCCATAGGTACTGTACCAATGTAAAATATTACATTTAAAAACTATTATTAAACTTCTAAAAAAAAAATACTTATTGTAAAAAATTAAAATAGATACTGTATACTTTAGTTTTGAAATAGGTCAATTCACTATCATTATATTATTAAAGCTACCAACACTATACGTAGGTTGATTCAGCTGAAATGCATTTAACATATATTATGCTATTTACAACACCTTATTTCTCGTAGACCAGAGAGAAAAATCAAAATATTAAATGCTGACATTATCTTACAATAATATTATTTTAATTCGTACATTATCAACTATTATAATTATAGATTAGGTAATTTCTTTTTTGACTTGAGTCACCACTATTTCCTTACATTTTGGTGTTGTAATTTATTTTGTTATAGTTTTGTGTCTGGGCTGTGTTTTCTACACCCTTTAACGAAACAAGCCCGATTAATAATAGCGTTGTATATAGATACAAATGATATAATTCACTGTAAAAAGTTTATTAAAGTAAATTAATTGGCGCAAAACAGCATAGATTCAATTTGAGTAGTAATACCTATTATACGACTCCGAACGTTATTGGCAACACCTTTTTGAATAACACGATTGCGAACGTTTTTATCTGCTAATTATGTTGTCGCATAGATTTGTTGTTGATTACAAAATAGTTTAATATTACAATTTATATATTATTATAATTATAATTTATATTTTATAACCTATCACCTATGGTTTTTCAAACTCTGATAAAATATAAAATGATCAGTATATTTGTATATTAAAAGAAAATCGTTCGCAATCGTMTAACATCGATAGAATTTATGCTGCATAGGGGAAAATCATACGAAAGTTGTGCATCACTAACCTTAACTCTAAGTTATGAGATGGTTGGTTACACGAACAACAATAATTAAAGGATAAATTAAAGCGCGGTGTACCTAGGCCTATTGCCTATAGGAGTTCTAACTCCTTGCCACTTGTTATTGTCATATATACACTTGTTCAGCTCCACCCTTCGCATTTGAAATAGCTTTTATGGTGGTTGACAAATCTGTATTTTTATGTATATATTTTTAATCGATTTCAATAATTGAGATGGATATATTGGACATAAATTATATTTTTCTAAAACATTATTGTAACTGGCCATTACAACATCACCTTATTTATTGARCTCAGAATAATGCTTAGGACTTATTTAGTCATTTTCCACTCTTGGAAAATKGTGAGCTATGGAGATGATTATTAATACGATTATAAAAAGTCAATGTTGCAGTTTATCAGATACTTATTGAAGGCAGCTCGTATATAAGCATTTGAGCTTATAATACCTACGTCACAACGTGTTGGCTTTTCAGTTTTCTAGTATCAAATATGAATACAATTATTTACTTAAGTAGTAACTAGGTAGGTGTGTGTTACTGCACACAATTTTAGATGAGGCCTGAGTCAATAAGACATAAGTTCACAAACACATTACACATATTATATGTAAAAGGCTGAAAGAGCGACCACAAGATTGTTGTTATTAAGCGGTCGACAAATTATACATTAATAGGTACTTATCGATACCTACCATGTTTTTACTGTTTTGAAAAATTAAATATGTGTATAGGTACCTAACACCTAAGGTATATTTAGGTAACAAGGTATAATTAATAAGGTACATCTGGCTGACTGGCCAAGTAATAAGTTTAATGAAATCAATAAATCGTTATTATTTCGTTATGTTTACAACACAGACTTCTATACTTACTATTATATTATAGAAGTCTGTGGTTTACAATTATTAATAATAATTGTATTATAATATTGACCGTGTGGCTGTGCAGTAATGGGTAACTATAATGGTATATAAATTATAGTTAGTTATTTAGTATTCTATGTATTCTAATTTAAATTTATGATTATTGCAACATATTTTACAATAGTACATTAATATTTAATATTATACAAAGGTGTCAAAGTTAAAAGTACCAACGGCCGAGGATGACGAATACCGAATAGAATGCCGATTCCTGTGCGTCGTGAAACGTACGATATCAGGAAAGTCTAAACAAAATGAAAACCAAACGTATGTCATGGTCGTGGCTGCACTGCCGATCGGCGGTCGCCATTGTTCCGCGCCCGCGCTCGAACCCCGCCCACCAACGACACCGCTACCCATCACGACTCGACAGTCGACGACGCTGAACGGCTGAACACTTTACACTTGGCTGTGCGCTGTGKTTCGATTACTTCAACCGTAAACGCTTCGTCAGACGTGTCGTCCGTTGCCGCACTCTCCGCACGCCGTCCCGGTGTATCCGCCTAAAAGCCKAGTAATATTGCAATACAAGTCCATCACCGACAACAAAAATGGTTCAAATGGTCACCGACGCTGTGAGTATTTTATTTTGAATTTATTATCGTTGGTACGAACGTTCTCGTTTCGCATCGCAGTTTTTCGATATTTTAGAATAATATTTTCGTATTATTGTATCGTCGTATTGAATTGTACATTTTTACGGCCGTCATTAATATTGTTTTCCGTAAATCATTGCGCACCATGTCCTGAACGGGTTTTAGTTTCGCGCACGTCGTACAAGGCCATCGTCGTTTTTATTTTTGTTATTATAACGTGCGACTTGTGAGACGACCGTCTGAATTCGAGCCCGTCGTTTTGAGGACCTCGCTGGGTGAGGTGAAGGGCTTTATTTAATTTGTCCTCGACCGCCAACAGTGATGATTGGAGTTTTTAATTTGGAGATTCGCGCGCGCGCGCGCGCGCGTGTGTGTGTGTGTGTGTGTGTGTGTGCTTATAATATATTTACTCGTAATATAAGCAATCATATCTCCCTTTTATAGTTTTATGTGACCATGGTGGTCGGTTGTGACGGTTGTGTACTTGTGTATGTGTGTGTATGTATGTATGTATGTATGCATGCATGCATGTGTGTGCGCGCGTCAATTGAACAGACATGTTCTTATCTATGGTTTCCCGGTGTGTACTGTGTATGTATATTTTGGTGACTGGCTATAGCCGTCGGATAATAAATTGATAAATCCATCGGTTTTTGTTGGATCACAATAACAACGACATAATGTGTCTGCCCAATAGTTTTAAATGAATTCTCCGTTTCGCACTAAAAACACTCGACAGTGGTATATCCACGGCCAGTATATACCGTACGTGAAATCAAAAATGATAGTTTTTGAATTGCCTACTTAATCAGTATGCGACCTGTATATTCATCGAGAGTTGAAAGGTCGTCATAATTACGTAAGACTGTAAATCTATAGTCTACACCTAGCTAGTATATAGCGCATTAATATTATTATGTTGAATTTAGGTATTTAATATAAGTTCCTATATTATATCTATCTAATTGTTAGTCAAACTGTTTACCTTAATTTGATTGTTTATTCCAGGGGCTTCCAAACTTTTTATGCAAGAGCTACATAAAATATTAAAAGCAGTGTATAAGCTCATCATTTTTTAATATTATAAAAATATATACATTTATATATATTTATAAAAAATGATCATATAATATACTTTGTATACATGGGTAGTTATCTAATTATGATACAGGTGATAGTTAACAAGTACACACATAATGATTTTGGATGTTATACATATTTTTATATTTACTCTTCTTGGGGGCGTCCAGTGATTACTGTTTCATGGGCTTTAGTTTTGATACCTGTGGTGAATTTTATTCAACTATTGCTCTCGAGTYTTAATCCTAAATTTAAATATTTTAAATATATTATACCATATTTTATATTTTAAACATATTGTATTATAGTATGTGTTTTCGATTGTTAAATTYGATCATTGTAGTTTTGTGTACAGTAATTGCCTCGTGAATTGTTAATTAATTTTTATAAATCAAAATATTAATACAATTTTAATCATAAATGTAGTTMAAAACATAACCATGATATCATCTACATTATAATTCAATTGAAAATAAAAATATTACCTAGTTAATTAAACTAATTAATATTTACCTAAGTAATTTTAATTACATATTACGTCATACATTATGACCATTTTAAAACATTTGGTTTCAGTCCTAAAAAAATATCAAGGGGTTGGGAAATGATTGTTTTAACTCCAATCATTAAAATTGAACTTATTTATTAAAATAGTTTAGTTACCTAATAAGTTATAATATATCATGGCCTAATACCTTAATAGGTCCACACTATTTAATTGGCCTCATTAGTTWAAATTGAAATATTTCTTAATTATTTTAACACATTTATTTTGGATATTAAAATATATAATTGATTAGATACATTTAGATTTAACCAATTTATTTATATTTTTGTTGAGTTTTTAATGTTAAAAATATGATTATATTAAGAGTTATTTGTTAGGTGATAATTACATTTTAAAATATAATTTATATACCCATCATTGCAAAATAATTAATTTAAGAGGACGCCACACTCCCATATTGTGATGTCTCTATCTTACAAATGTACTACATAGCAAAAACTGTTTTGCGTAGAAAAAAGMCAAGAAAGCTACAGTCATAAGTTATGACTCATAACTAAGGAACAGAATTTTCATCCTATCAAGACGAGAACATATACTGTGCAACATTGCTTTTTTTTTTTTTTTTGATATCACAAATGCAAAAAAATGTATTCAAGTTTTAAAGCTTGGTTATGATTATAGACTTGGTTCTTTCTCATGCAAAACTGTTTTTGGTATGTAGTATGTTTGTAATATGGAGACAACACATGCAGGTGTGGTGYTGTCTTTATAAACACTAAAGTAATTTAAAGTTAAATATTTAATGTTAACATCTATTAATATAAATACATTTTATTAKATGACATATTATGCKAGATATTATGTTATATGTTACAATGGCCAAAACATGGCTTGATGTTTTTACAAATTTCTGTTAACTGCCTTTTAAAATTAATTTTCCATTAATTTTTGAATAATTTTTCTAAGGATATAAAAACATAATGGCTATATCATACCTACAATAATTATCTAATAATAAGTACATACTAGTTATCATAACCCATTGTACATTTAAATATAATTTTAGGTTATCTTCCTCAATAAAGTTAAAAATTGTGTGAAATGTATTGCATTAGTATTTTCTTAAATTGCAATAACAGATTGGTATGATAAATTAATTATATATTGAATAATTTATAGGTATTACCAATTGTATTCAGTACTGAATGAAATGTGTGGGAAAAGTTTTATTATTGCATATATTTAACACTCAATATTTAAAGTGTCTAATTTTTTTAATTTAATGCTTGGTCACATTTATTTATATTTCAAAATTATGTTCAAGTATTCCATTCACAGCGACATAATTTAATACTTCAGCATTAAACTTAAGTTTATTGATAAGATTAAGCYATTTGATTGTTAGACAAAAAATAATAATAATAATAAAGTTCTTAAAAAGTGTTAGCAGTTACTATTATCAATGTAATTTCTATTGTATTGTATAAATATGTTCATTGTTCTGTTAACCTTGTTTGACATACATAAATATGTATACATTTGTTTAGTAATTGGGCACTTATGTATTATCTCAATTACCAAAATCTTTCCAAGACAGCCTGTTAGAATCCTGTTTAAATATCTATTTTATTATTATAACTAACCCTCCATGGTTAATATTCAATACCATCTGTAACTCTAAGTTAAAGTACCATAAGTATATTATAGTGGCACCGGTCAGTCCGAGGACCTCAAGGTGCATGGGGGCTCAGCCCCAAACCTCTAGGTGCCAAAACCAACCGGGGTGTRGAGGAACATTTTAATTTTGCTTGACATTTTAATCAAACATATTTAAATAATTTTGTCATAACTTGATTGTGGTAACTTGATAACTAATTTGTGGTAGTCGAAATAACACGGTTGTGCACCCAAGGTAGTCGAGATAACACATAGGTACCAATAATTGTTGAATTGGTACTATTTCAAATATAGTATTTATTTTAATATCTACTTGAATAATTTCCTTAACATGATTTTAAATAATCAATAAATATCAACAGTTAATAATATTTTGTACTTGTTGTAATTTTTTTGTTTTATCAAACTATGTACCATTTATAATATTTATATATATTTTGTATTTTGCAGGCCGATCTGGCAACTAAATTGACTGACGCCAAAGAAAAATTAGTCATCATTGACTTTTTTGCCAAATGGTGTGGTCCTTGCAAGTTAATGGCTCCTTTTATTGAAGTAATTATTAATTTTCTTTATAGTAAGAATATCAATTTTAATGTAACAACATTATTGAATTACAAATTACARTATAGTACCTATATAAATAAACRTCATTAACWTTTAGTATTTACTAAATGTTATTAATGAATACCTATAAAGTACTTAATTAAAATGTAAAGCTGAATATATAATCATGAATACACAATATATACACAATACACAATAAAATAAATAGCTATTTAAAAAAAAGTCTTAGCTATTATCTATTAAATTTCACAAATTTATCATAGCATTCTTTTTAAAAGTGATATTTTTCTGATTACTAAAAAATTTATTTTATACTTTTGATACTACCAAATAATACATTTCTGCAATTAAACATGTGTTAATAGTATTTTTATGTATAAAACTCAACATTTTAAAAGTGCAGTTGTAATTAATAAATCAACATAATATTATGAGATACCTCTGGTCACTACTTTCATCTAAATAATAAATATTTAAAAGTATAACTCATTAACTACWTGTCCAACATTTTAAGTATTCCAAATTATTTTGATCTTTATATAAAGGAATTAAATTAWTTTTGTTATTATTATAGTAAAAGGTTTAAAGTTGGCTATATAATAGTTTTTTTTTTAAATTTAAAATTAACTAAAAATAATATTTTCATTAACATAAAAAGTTTTTGAAATAATAAGTGTTGTTTGATTAAAAAATATCMCTTGGCTAAAAAAAATTTAAGTTTAAAACTAAAAATGGCTTAAAAATGATTTAAGTCATATAGTTATTGACCAAAATTTTTAACAATTTCACAAAATACTTGTTTATTTTTCGAATATTTAATGTGGTTAAAATGATATTCCATAATTTGTTTGAAAATAATACACTTGGTTGTCTTAAGACCATGTCACATATATAAAAGGAAAGCGTTTTTTGGGAATTTAAAAATAAAGTTCAAAGCTTGATGATAAAAAAGAAATTAAGTCATACTAAAAWTGTAATATTATAATTTTTAGGAACTGGCCAATGAGTACCCTGATGTAGTCATGTTAAAAGTTGATGTTGATGAGTGTGAAGATGCCGCTATTGAGTATAACATCCAATCAATGCCCACATTTGTCTTCCTAAAATCAAAAACAGAAGTAAAATAAATTAATATAATGTAAATATTCAAATTTGTATTATTTTACTATTGATAATGTTTGTTTTTTTTAGGTTGTTCGGTTTTCTGGTGCTAACAAAGAAAAATTAAAGGATAATTTATTGAAACACAAATAATAATATCAAAATTTGCTTAAAACATAGTGTCTTAATGGACCTGCATATATTCAATGAAGTTTTTTATATAATAAAACAAAAATAGATTTTATACTGTCATTAATTATTGTATTTGATTGAAATTATTACCTACAAAAAAGTTTAAATATATATATATATATATTTAAAAAAAAATTATATATAATATTCATAATGTTATAATTTATTAATAACCACTCTATGTAATCGAAACTGAAATGTATACTTACACGTTACGTACTTACTTAGAAATAAATTAAAATGCACATTGAAATTGCTACCATCTAAACTCAAGTTTTGTTATTTTTATATTGAGCTTTATTTAGTTGTCATGTTAGGGAACAATATAAGAGCTATGTATTTAATTATTTCAATAATTTGAGGTAAAAACATTTTTAATTAATAATAATTTATTTTTGCAAAACAATATACAATTTTATAYTTGTGAATAAAATATACAATAAACATTTTGCAAACTCACCTTCAAGCATAAGCTTGTTTTGGGGTGCTTTTAGTTTTGAGCTCAGTACAAAGAGAAACAAGATTAGAAATAAACAAAAAAATTACAAAAACYAATTAARTAAATTAACAAAGAACAGGAGAATAATTATTTAAATTTTGTAGCACTTGTATAACATGTCTATATTCATGAAATCAAGAGTTTAAAGAATATATTTAAATAAACCAGCATTTATAAAACTATATTTATTAATATTAAGTTGTCTATTTATTTGAGTTGCTACAGATATAGAGCTATTCAAATCAAGCTGCTTTATAAAAAATGGAACAGAAATATTAATATTCTCTCTGTAATGGGTATTATATGAATGATTCACCCTAAACTAAGGCTTAGCTAGATTATGCTTAAACCTGTGAAAACTTTAAAGAATATTTGTTAAACATTTAAGTTATTGTGATAGTACATAGGTTTCAACAACAATTATTATAAAATCTATTAAGTGTTATTTTTAGTTGATAGTATGTGAATCATGTTTGTCAATAGACATAAATGCCTTAACTAACAATGGATTGAACTAATATTAAAAATAATAAAGTTTTATATAAACATTACACTAGTTACACTAGAATCTTAAAGTATGAAATATTTAAAAACATTTTCTAACAGTATTTGTTAAATTAATTACGTGAACATTCCATTTTAGTTTACTGTCTATGGTTATACCTTTATATTTTGCAGTATTGACCTGTTCTAAAATTATATAAGTATTACAGTTTCCATAATATTTTATTGAATAAACACACATTATGTTTTTTGTTTTTATATAGGTTTAGTTCAAAAGTATTATTAAAAGAATTTATTTTGATTAATTTCTTAATTAATCCTAAAACATAGCTGTCAAACCAATCTTTGATGTTTTTATTAGATTGTTATTTGTTAGCATTGGAATACAATGAATCAGTATTTTTATCAGATAAAATAATTATAGTATTATAATAACAATTATTAGAATTTACATTCAAGTTTAATAAACTATTACAAACAATTGATTGGCACTTTAAGGAACACCTTGTAAAATTTACTGTATATTTTATTAATTTTTACTGATAGTGTTCTTTTTAATAATATTGTATTAATTTATAAATAATCCCTCTAAAGCCAGTCTCAAATAACTTTTTTAGAAGTATACCAAACGTGGTTAATACTATCAAAAGCCTTTTTATACCTAAAAAAATGTTTTAAGTTTCACTATTTTATGTAAGAATTAATTGAACAAAAATAAAGTAGCATTGGTCGAACTTTATAGTAAAACTTTTTTATTCAGGAATCGTAGTATTCTACTTTTAAGTTTTAATGCACTTCTCGAATATTTAAGAAATAGATAGGAATATTGTAGCGCTGTTGGGCGATAATTAGTAATTACTAGAATTYAAAATTCAAAAGGGACATATGATTTGTTCATTACCTATCCGATAAATGTACATTTCATTGTTTCCGTTCTTATATTCTTATAATGATTTAACTTGTGAATCATTCAATTTGACTGGTCATATTATATTAATTAATATTATTATTTATTAATTTATTATGTAATGAATCATAGGCGTGCGTAGACTGTTTGAAGACTGCGGCTGATAAAATATGCCCTTTTCCCACAAATATATAGGCTCGTATATAGGTATAGGTATATGACCCTAAGATTAATGTGTATGATATTTCATCTTAAACTTTTTATTAGAATAAAATTATTTTTTGAATAAAGGCATTTTTTTAAGCCTTCTCTTTCCTGGTATAAGGACTTTAAATTTTTCAATCATATCCTCTGTGTCAATTTCAATAGAAATTTGTTATTCTATGATTATCAACATTAATCCATTCAGATTCCAGGCGCTTTGAGGTCATCACTGCAATTTGATTACAAACGCTCGGTAAAGATATTTTTATCCGTGTTCACTGGTCAGTCATGGAGGCGATTATATTAATAGGTACAGAATAGATAAACTTTATTTTAGTATTAACTATTGAGACATTGTAAAGTTAAAAATGTAACCATCGTCATTTGTAGGAAAATATGAATGTTAAATACACTACAAATAAAACCCATAATTCCTTATTGAGTGTTGAGAACCATCCACAATGGCTTCAACAACAAGTCCATACTCTTATATTGATATYGTATTACCATTTTATAACCACTAATACTAACCAGTCGAAATATTATGAACTGAGACATTGTTCATGTAGGTACCGACATAATATGTCCAGCGTCTAGGGTATAGTGTTAACAAAAAA